TAGTTGTTTTAATGGTTATTGAGTCAGATATGTGGCGGTAATGTTTGATTTATCTAAAGGTTTAATCTGTTACTGTGTAAATGAGTTTGGCTGTAATTTAAGGACAGATTCTAATAGATCTGCAGAGTGGGAACTATAAATCTGATAGGAGTTAATTTTTTTTATTGTTGTTTTGCACAATATGCTTAACTAAGTATTTTTTGTTGTTGAATATTAGAGATTTTGCAGATATATTTTTATACATACATTGTTTAGATTTACTTATATATTTCTAACCCTTTTATAGAATAGAATAGAAAATCCCTTTATTGTCCCACAATGGGCAGATTTACAGCAGCAGAAAGATTATTGAAAATGGTCACACAAATGAGGACCTTAGAAAAATGTATAAGAATAACATAATAGGGAAGAGTTAAAATATAAACAATAAAATACTGTAAAGTGTTTTAACAATATAAAACTGGAGAATAAATAACCAATATGCTGCTATGGACATTTTTACAATAATGGATATTTGAAAATAGCAGCAACATCAGAGATGAGCAGAATGACAGCAGCAGGTTTTTAACTGACTAAGGTTTCTATCATTACATTTGATTTGATTTGTTCCTGCTCCCGGTGGTTGGAACATTTATTCCACTCTGGATTCTTGTGAGTCTTTGTTCACTTTACAATAAAAAATAAATAAACAAACAGTTTTGAAAACCTCAGTATTCATTCTTTTCCTGCTTTGTGTGTCAACTTTCACGGTTGCTAAGCAACAGAGCATACGGCGGTAAAACCCGCTGAAGGGAGGACTTGTTGGAATTTACAGCCAAAACTCTTCTGGCCTCCTCATTTTCAAGGACTTCGAAGGATCCAGTCTAGGTAGACCGCGTCCTTGGAGGATGCAGCCCAGGTTTTCTAACAGAGCCTCTGATTAAGAGCAGGGCTGCCCGCACTGACGCGACTCAGGCATTACGTCACACGGAGCGTCGTGCGCAGTGAAATCAGGACATTTCCTCAAAAAAACCCGGGACGCCCGGGACAGGACGTGAAATACGGATATGTCCCGGGAAATACGGACGTTTGGTCACCCTAGATTAGAAACCTGTATCTTGTTATGGTTGTCCCTTCACTTTTAAACCATTTAATCTTTGTGTTTTAGGAAGTAAAACAATTGTAGAAAAAGTTGACAAAGTTAAGAGTAAGTTTAAAGAGTCAAGGAAAATATAAACCATCCAAGCTAAATGTTTTTATTACCCGCCATAGAAATAATTTGCCGCAGTATATTTTTACATGCGGTAAATCCATGTATTGAAGCATTTCAATATGTAGGAAACAATATAACCCTTATATTCCAAAATGTAATAATTTGTGTAAAAAAAAAGTAAATTTTAGATACATAAAATCCTGCAAAATCCTGAAAAATTAAACCGTTTTTCCTTTTTACACATATTTGTCTAAATACAGAAAAGTCCCAACACCTCAGAAATTATAATGTAAAAAAAAGTTGCACAAAATCATTCCAGATCAGAGAACATATATTTAGAGTGTGTCCAAAACTTCATTTTTGAAATGCACCAACTCTTGTAAGCAGAGACAAAAATGGAAATGAATATGGTGAACCATTTGAGAAATATATTATATGTACTTCAGTGCAATGATATCTTTAATTTTAATTGATACATATGAATACACTTTCAAAAGTTCACAAGAAAATATTCAGCCAATAAAAAGTGTTAGGAACGACAAAAATTCTAATTATTTTTTTTACTATATTGAAACTTTATAACAGATACCCTCAAATTCAGATAATATTATTTATCAAGATATAAACAGCAGAGTGAACTTAAAACTGAAAATCACCAGAAAACACAACAAAATAAGACAAACAACAAAATAAGTACATTTGAATTGAGAAAGCTTCCTGGAGAGGTGGCGAAACGTCTTCAAATCTTGAAAACCAAGTCCAGTGGATATTTTTTTGAATTTTTACGGAATGACTATGACCTGGATGACTGAGAACCTTCATCAGCATACAACAAAATAAGAATTAAACCACTAAAACCAGGAAACAAGAAGCAAAGTAAAACTGAGGACTCAAAAGAAAACATAACAGAACCAAAACTGTAACACTACCCCCCACTCAAGGGTGGATTCCAGACGCCCGAAAATGGGGGAACCAGGAAAGGAGGGCAAGAAAACAAAAACAGAGTCCAAAAAACAACCCACCCAGGGTGGGCGAGGGCAACAGAAAGTCTCTGGATGCTGGCCGAGGGGCCGGAGGCGAGGCAGAGTCTGGAGACCCGCTAAAGGCTCCGACTCGGGATCTGGCCCGCTAAAGGGTTCCGACTCGGGATCTGGCCCGCTAAAGGGCTCCGACTAAGGATCTGGCCCGCTTAAGGGCTCTGACTTGAGTTCCGGCTGGTGGGGAGCTGATGGAGGTAGAAGGAAAGGGAATAGATCCTCCCTTTCCCCATAAAAGAAGTTTCATAGGTTAGACTCCTCAATATGGGGAGCTCTGACTGTGGGGTGTGTGAAATGAGGACCTGGTTTAAGTCTTTTCAATGACGGGGCTGACTTTTGGTCATAGAGGTTAAGACTGAGGCCGCAGGAGAAACTGACCTGGTTATGAGGGGGACTGAGGCTAGCAGCTGGCTGACCCACCGGAGGGGAGGAGGTGGCGATAGGCTGACCCGCCGGAAAGGGAGTGGAGGCATCAGGCTGACCCGCCGGAGATGGAGTGGCCTTCTTTCCCCGGCGGCGGTTCCGACACCTGGAAGAAGCAGATGGCAGGAGGGAACCAACAGCTCGTGAAGGTGAAGAAACAGGATTAGAGGTTCTAGATTACTGAGGTATGTCACAGAATGATGGTCTGGGTGGTGAAGGTTTACTGAATAGCTTAGCAAAGGCATCCTGTATGTTCCACTCAACTTGGGCAATATGTCCTGCCTGAAAGAAAAAGGTCCGGAGCTCTGGATATTGTTGGAGTCCACTGAGTACTTTTTCTGTGGTTCCCACCTGCTCCCAAGGTGAAGAGATAGTGGAAAGAATGTCTATATATTGTCTGAGTTGTTTAAAGGTACACTATGCAACCGGTGTTGATTTTCCAGCGAGGCTCCCCCCAGAGGACGAAAGTAAAAGTGCACTGTCGTAAATATGCACAGCTGTTCTCCTGGTATCTCCGTCAAGCCAGGCGCGGTTGTTTTGAGCTTAGCAGACAGGCGAACGCAACGAATGACTACTGCACGAAGATCGCCACTGTGCTAGCAACGAGCATGCTTTTAACTGGGGGCGTGTAGCAGTTCTCGCCTTAAAGCAAGACCGACTCTCGCGAGACTTCTGAGCCTGTGGGTGCAGGCCGAGGGCTCCTGCAATTGCAAGTGCGGTATTTCCCCCACAGACCACCAGGGCGGCCGAGAATACCTTTGTTCAACCTGAAATGACTCATTTAATCATCCAAAACGTTATGGAACACATTAAAATGTTGCATAGTGTGCCTTTAAGAAAGTCACTTGCCTTTACCTTAGGTGGCTCTGCTGGGTCCATGTTGGCTGCTTCCTACTGTCAGGATTAGGTTGTGATGTGAGGACCCAAATGCAAAGACAGGGAGGCAGAGGTGAGTTTCTTGACGATTTAATGAAGAGTAAAGAAACAACTGAGGCAGGAATCCAAAATCCAAAAAATCCAAGATGAAAACAAAGTCAAACAAACCAGAAACCTTGGAGAAGTCAGGGGGGGAAACTATCACGAGGAGGAAGACTCAGAGAGACGGAGTTAGAGGAAGTTAGACGAGGAACCAGCACCAAGGAACTGAACAGAGAGTGTATTTATGGGAGACTGAAACAAAGAGAGGACTAAGGAGGATATTGGGAGCAGGTGTGAACAGAGCAGAACAGGAGAGGAGCTAGGGAAAAAAGGAGAACACAAGAGGGCAGCAGAGGGCAACAAATAAAAACCTGAAAACTGAAAATAACCAGAAAACACAACAAATTAAAAATTAAACCACTAAAACCAGAAAACAAGGAGCAAAGTGAGGACTCAAAAGAAATATAATGTAAATATATATGTATATATTTATATTATCTTAGGTGGTTTGTTGTATATAGTATATACATATAAAAATGTTTTTTTTTTCTGGAGCGTGTAACAAAAGTAATTTCCCTCTAGGATTATTAAAGTATTTCTGATTCTGATATCTGCTCATTCACCTAGGTTCTTTAGACTTTTAGTCACGGGTTGACTCCTAGACTGGCTGTTTTAAATCTGAAATGTAGTAACTTAGACTAAGATTATTGGGTGGATATAGCTGAGGTGAGGTAGTTTGGACCTAATGATGCTAGACAGTCCTAGCAAACTCAAAAGTTTTGGGAACTTGGCCAAAGTTTGGGTTAGGTTCCCAAAACTTTGATTAAAGTAGGCATAGCAACTTCTTAAACTTTTTTTTCAATTTGTTAATCAAAAGTAGAAAGTTTATTTCAAAGTAATTGCAAAGTAAGGGTAAAAACATAGTTAGCAAAATGGCAACTCAAATACTGAATAATTATTCTGTTGTAACATCCAGCTTAATGTTTATAGTGATACAATCACAGAGATTAGGAAATAAATGAGAGTACGAAATAATCAACTCAGGAAGCTCAAAAAAATTTCGATATATTTTGTGGTGTAAATATTGATAGGTAGTGCATGACTGTCAGGACAAGATAAAGAATTTTGAGATATAATAGCTACATTTTTCATCTGCTCTTAGAATAATTAAAGTTATTAATTGGGGATAGGGTAACCGGACATTTTACTTAAGTACTGAAAGAGTAGCGATACGCTCACAAATTTAAATCATGTTAAAGTAAAAAGTACAGCAGCGTATGACTACTCCTAAAAGTACATTTCTTTCAAAAATTACTCAAGTAAATGTAACTGAGTAAATGTAGCTAGTTACTACCCTCCTCTGGAGAAGTATAAAGCGCCTATAAATAGTAGTTAAAGCCCGGCAGAATTTACTGACTGCTGGTGTGGAAATGTTCCCGTGTGTGCTCCTGCTGACAGTAGGCTGGAAAATAATCCAAACATGGATTTATTCAATCCAGCTTCTGTAAAAAACATTACCTTCATCCGACCTCCCTATTTTATTATCAGAGGTTTCACTGACTTGCCTGAAATAAGATTTTACTACTATTTTCTTTTTGTTGCCTACATATTTTTGGTCCAGGGAAATACAGCTGTAATGGCTTTAATATACCTGGATCGTAATCTAAGGACTCCGAAGTATGTTGCCGTGTTTAATCTTGCATTTGTTGACCTGTTGGGGGGCACTGCTCTAGTACCAAAGGTGCTTGACATATTTTTGTTTAATCACTATTACATCCCCTACAATGACTGTCTAACATTCTTTTTTTTCTGTTACATTTGTCTTTCCATGCAGGCTCTCAATCTGGTTGCTCTTTGCTATGATAGACTAATGGCTATAATGTTTCCTTTGCACTATCATGTGAACGTTACCCATAAGATTATGTTTTCTTTGATTGCTTTTTTCTGGTCAGTTGCTTTATTAGCTGTTTGTATTGCGATTGGTTTTCTGACAACACTTTCATTCTGTAATTCTGTGGTTATTAACAGCTTCTTTTGTGACCACGGTCAAATGTACAGACTGGCGTGCAATGATAATTTTCCAAGTTTTGTGATTGCAAATTTGCTTCCGGTTCTGTTTCTTTGGCTTCCTCTTTTGATAATAATATCCAGTTATATATGTATTGGTTATGCATTAGCTCGGGTTACCTCAGCTCAGGAAAGACTTAAGGCTCTAAAAACGTGTGTAGGTCATCTTTCTTTAGTGGCAACATTTTTTTTTCCTATAATAATCACATTTATTATGGGTCCTAGACTACATCCAAATTCCAGGATCATTAACCTCTCTCTGACCTCAGCTATTCCACCAGTGTTGAACCCATTAATTTATGTTATGCATACACAAGAAATGAAATTATCAATCAAAAGTTTGATAAAAAGAAGGAATAAATCTAAAATTATGAATTAGTTTTTCAAATGCCTATTTTTTTATATCCATACTAGAAAATTAACTGTCTGGAATAATTTGTCATACGTTTGGCTTTGTGACTCAGGAAGACTCAGTAGCCTTAGAATTCTAACTTTTGTTTCAATAAATTAGGCCTGAAATTATTCTCCTCCTACTTGATTTTCAGTTGAATTCCTCCCTGTCTTTAATGTCCATATATGATGGGATCACTAAAGAAATCACAGTTTGAGAGGGATTTCATGTTTAAAGTAACACGCATGTTTGTTAAATGTAAAACTGTTTTCTGTAAAGAAAAATCCCATTTATGGTAACTCCCATTCTAAAGTAAGTATTCTAGCATCATAACCCTGTCTTTGTTTTCCTACAAATGTAAGAGACCATAAGATGTCTACAATTATACATATAACAATAATGCACTCAAGTTAAAATAATAAAGCTATATTACATGTTGGGTTTCCTCTTGTTTCTATTTCATTCATGTATTATGAAATAACATGAATTGTTTTTTGACAGTACAACATCATAACAAAACTGCACTATCCTACAACTATCATTAGAATTAATAACAGCTTGGACAATGGTCCTTAATTTAAAAAAATTAATACACAATTTATGGCTCAATAGACATGACCTGAAAAGTGCAAGGGAGTATTTTATTGTGAGATCTTTAGCAGAAGGTTTTAACAAACAATGCATCTACCCTTCTGTCTGAATTTCACTCTAGTTGGACCAGGACTGAATTGAATTGAATTCAGTTTAATAAAATAGCACCAATTCACAAGACATGTCATCTGCACACATGCCTATTTGACAGTATAGGTGGATTGTATAATCCTCAGCACTAAGGCCAATGTGCTATTTACAGATTCAGATTGTGTTCTGAAGTTTTTTCCATTATTTTTGGATTGGATATGATTCAGTTTATTCAATAAGATTTAATTAATAAAAGTTCAAACTTGTTAAAAACATCAAGTTTGATTCTTTGAGCTAAATAAAACTAAATGGATATCAGGAAGTGTGTTGTTGTTGTTTGGGTGTCTTTTACCCTGGGGAAAACCTCCTTGTTGTCAGGCCACAGTCAAATATCCTTCAGTATGTTTCCCAATCAACATTGAGCAGCCAGCTTACTGACCTCCCCTTCCTCCATTGACCCTATAAGGGGTTTAACCTCACTGGAAGTGACGTATTTTCGCGTATATTTTCTGGCTGCTTACTGTAGTTCAATAGGTGGAAGCTCAAACCTCAACAGGGATTTCTTATGGAGGCTAACCGGTGTTCTGTTAGAACAGCATGTCAGCTCTGAGTGGCCATGGACTGCCACTCTGGGTCCCTGAGCAAGACCCTTAACCCCAGACTGCTCCCCAGGGGTAAACAGTGGCAGCCCACTGCTCTTCATGGGGATGGGTTAAATGCAGAACAGAATACAGAATGAATTTCCCCATTTTGGGACAATAAAGGATTTACATTATTACATTAAATTAGGTAAGATATTGTTTTCATTTTTAAAATCATAGAAAACAGAATTCCTTTAGGTTTGATTAAAATCACAGCAGCAACATGCTCATGCTACCCCAAAACGGAAGGGAGATGGTGTCCAAGAGCGGAATAGACAACTGACTGATGTGCAACATACTCATGAAATGAGGCACATTTAGATGCATATTTAATGCGGTTTAATGACTATGTTGCACTCCCGAAACAGAAAGGACTCCGTCTTCGTTTTTGTCAACTTTATTTGCCCCTCGTACACGTTTTTCTGATTGTTCTCTCTGGAGCAGCCGGGCATGAACACGCAGATCAAAACCATCACAAACTCTAGCCTTCTTCTTCTTCTTCTCCGAAAACTCCCGCCACTAACACTGACGTAGAGCCTAGATCAGATATGCGTAAACAATAGTAACTAGATGCAATGTTCTAAATAACAGCATTGACCAAAAAAAAATAACGGTCACATCGAACAAATCAATAACACAGCGACCAAATATTATATATCTAAATAAAATATGTTCAGGGTGCAACACCCTCCCCCACAAAAAAAAAAAATATAAAAATGCAATTGTCTAACATTAAACATGTTTTTTTCAATACAGAGGCAACATATATATCCAAGACCTAGTATTATGGCAAGTTAGCAGGCAAGTATATTAACAAATATTACAATATTACAAAGTTTGTATCGTCCTCATTAGCTGAGATCATCTTCATTCCTGTCTCCCAGACGAAGAGTGTTGCATGTGTGTCATACAGAACTATCTAGAGTCCATTAGTACTGAAGGGTGAGCAGTCCATAGAAGAATCGGTGGGCCCCCCAAAATCTTCACCAAGGGACAAGGAAATAACCCCATACACCCAGAATTGTGTTTTCACACCTTTGAATTACATGCAATAAGAATTTGCTACTTAAACAACTATTTCTAATAAACCTTTGTTTACCTATAGCTATCCTCATCAGTCTTTATCCAAGTCCACATTAACAGCTAAACTCTGTTTAAGCACAACTGGGTTTTGGCCAGTAACTGTACAAATTTACAGTTTTTACCGTATTTACAAGTCTCAACAGATTATTATCTTATTAGACTGAACTGTAATATTAACTAGCCTGTAAAATAACCAACTAGGAATGAACATCAACAGTTTGTTTTTTTAGTAAGCACTGCTATAAAAAGGATACATGGATGAGGATAGGCTGGCAGCGTTGACGTGGTTTTCTGGGGGTCCCTTTTCTCTGGTGGAACAGTTCCTCAGGACTTGAAAGCTCGGATGACCCAACTGGTCATAAGTGTAAATCCTTCTGGGCCGTCTCACCCTTCTTGGGTGTTCTCCAGGTGCCTCTTCATTCCTCCAGCCATCAGTAGCTTCATCAGCATCTGGATCAGCCTCCTCTCCCTCAGGCTGTATCTCCACATTCTCTTCCATGATGTCATTTGGCACAATGTTCTCCTCAGTGCTTGGATGGAATTCTTCAGCTCCTACATTTAGGGTTGACTCAGGTTGTTTCACTGCAGTCCATCCGTAGTATTCTTCCTCACTGGAACTTTCTGTATTTGATGCATGAGCAACTTGTTCACTTCTGTGATTCTTTGCTCTCCTTACTTTGTTTTTTTTGGTTTTCTCCTTAGAATCTGAACTGCTGAGATTGGTCTTTTCCACCAGGTAAGGGCATGGCAGTAGCAGGTTGCGATGTAATACTCTTTCCTTTCCCATTCCATGCAGGGGCCTTACAACAAACACTGGACTGTTTGGCCACTTCTGAGCTTTGACAACATAGATAACATCCTCCCAGTAGCTACGCAGCTTTCCAGGCCCCCCTCTTGGTGTTAAGTTCCTCACCAAAACATGATCACCTGGACTCAAGGTAGAGCTCCAAACGTGCCGATTGTAGTTTCTCTGTCCTCTTTTTGCACACTTTTCCATGTTATCCATTGCAATTAAATATGCCTCCTGCATTGATTCTTTCCACTTCTCAGCATAGCTGGAATGTGATTGGGTTACATCTTTTTCTCTCTTTGGAAAAATCAGGTCCACAGGTAACGTTGGTTCACGACCAAAGAGAAGAAAAAAAGGAGAAAATCCAGTTGCCTCATGAACAGTGGAGTTGTAGGCATGGATCACTTTGTTTAAGTGTTCCTTCCATCTTGATTTCTGTGTCTCCTCGAGTGTTCGCAACATTCCAAGAAGGGTTCTGTTGAAGCGTTCTGCAGGATTGGCTTGAGGATGGTAAGGTGAGGTGTGAGAAGGCTGGATGCCACAGAAACTTTGGAGCTTTGTAAAGAGCCTATTTTCAAACTCCCTTCCCTGGTCATGGTGTATCCTGGATGGGAATCCAAACCGTGTAATGAAGTCATCAAAGAGTTTCTTGGCTGCAGTTTTTCCAGATTTATCCTTGGTTGCATATGCTTGTGCATACTTAGTGAAGTGATCCACCACCACAAGTATATATTCTTCACCTCCCTTACATTTCTCCAAGTGCAAGTAGTCAATTGAGATCATTTCAAATGGTGCAGATGTCTGAATGCTCTGGATGGGCGTTCTGATCACTCTGTTGGGTTTCTTTCTTTTAATGCATCGGCATACCTGGGTTATATGGTGCTCAATTTCCTTTCGCATTTTTGGCCAAAAGAAACGTTCTCGAGCCAAAGAAACCATTCTATCAGAACCCAAATGTCCCATGTCTTCATCTAGGTGTTTGTAGATGGTTGGTTTTAGCGATTCTGGGACAATCAGCTGTGTTCTCGATGCTGTCACTCTCCTGAGGATCCCGTCCTCATCAATCTGGAGTCGAGACCATTCTTTCAGAAGCTGCTTCACAGTTTCATCCTCTTTCAGCTTTTGTTTGTGCTTTAGAGGCAGTTTTGTTTTCTTAAGGGTCAGAACTCTGTTTATAGCTGGATCTGAGTTCTGGGCTGTTTTTATAAACTCCTCTGACAGGGGCTGGATCAGCTCTAACAAACAGCTTTCCTCTGGTAAGGTATCTGTGTTACAGGTGACAGCGGTAATCCAGTTTACCTGTCCCAAACTTTCTCCTTTTATAGTCTTACTGATGGTCTCTAGGATTTCAGGCTGGCATTCAGCTTTGCACTCCTGAATGATTTTCTCAATGGAATCTGGTCGGCGGGACAAAAAATCTGCATCTCCATTGGATGAGCCTGGCCTGTACTTGATGGTAAATCTGTAGTCTGACAACTCTGCCACCCAGCGGTGTGATGTGGCATTAAGTTTGGCAGTTCTAGTGACATAGGTGAGCGGATTGTTATCACTGTATACTATGAAATGAGGTGCATGAAACAAATAATCACGAAAACGCTCTGTTATGGCCCATTTCAGCGCCAAGAATTCGAGCTTGCCAGAGTGTAGCTTGTAATTTTTCTCAGCAGCTGTCAATGTTCTGGACCCATATGAAATAACTTTGAGTGCCCCCCCTTGTCTTTGGTAAAGAACTGCACCTAGGCCCTCCTCCGATGCATCAACGTGGAGTTCGAATGGTTTCTCCAGGTCTGGATATGCCATGACAGGTGGGTTTGTCAGCTGATCCACAATTCCCTTGAGGATGTCTCGATGGACCTCTGTCCACTGTACTGGATGGGATGGTGACAACTGATTTTGTTTTTGTTTCATCCCTTTTGCTCTCTTTCCCCCTTTTTGTTCCAACTTTGGTTTAGCTAATAGGTTATACAGAGGTGCTGCGGCCCTTGAAAAATCCTGAATGTAAGCCCTGTAATAACTAAGAAAGCCCATGAGTTTTCTAACCTCTCTCACTGTTGCTGGTGTCTCATGCACCAGGGCTCTAACTGCTTCCACCTCCTTGGGATTCATTTTATATCCCTCTGCCGAGATGATGCGACCCACATAACAGACTTCTTGCTTAAAGAAGTCACATTTTGTTGGCCTTAATTTTATCCCACATTTTCTCTGTTTTTGTAGGACCTGTCTTACATGTTTGATGTGCTGTTCAA